CTAATCCCTTAAGGAAATATATGTTGTCTTGAGCTTCTTTGAAAGAATCCTTCACTAAACCACCATATAAAACATAGATAACTTACTGAGTGATTGACATGAATTATATCCAGTCCCACATGGTGCGCTGATCAGGCAAAAAGAGTTAAAAGATGACGCTGAAAGGCAGCAAAGGACTAGAGAAAAATAGGTGATGTTATTTCTTGCTTTATTCATTCACTCTTGGTAGGGCAAGATCACTTACCACAAGTCATTAGGTTTTTGGGGCCCCTATTTTCATAGTAAGGAACAAAAGATCGTCTGCCTCATAACAAATATCTTCTAAAAGGCGACTAATTAAGAGGTCCTAAATCGTGTTGGGCTGAACATTGCAGAAACTGCAGCCGAGCTGAAAACTAATACAACATGCCACATGCTTTTGTCAGGCAGAAAAAAGAACTGAGCACCAGGCAGATTTAGAACAAATATGACCTTAGTCCCTGGATCAACCTAGCTTGAAACCGGTACCAGGAAATCTCATGGGAAGTAAAGTTGGCTGGTATATGTTACTATTTAAATAAAATTGAACTCTGAATCCTAAAATTATAAACGTTACAGAACTAGAAAATGCAATACTAGAAATGTTTTAACTTCACAGAACAATATAAGACAGCAGTTTCATTTCCCTGTTTGAGTAGATATGAGATTTTATTGAATTCAACATGATAAATGTATGTAATGCTCATACAGAAACCACTTGTCTAAACAAAGCCAGTTATATCACATACAAGCAACAACCATATGGTAACACAGAATAAAGGGTATACGGTACAGTAAATGTGTTATGGTGATGAATATGTGGTACAGTAATGCAAATGTGATACTGTAAACTATCACAAAACCAATCACAACAAAAACTGGGCAGCTAGTAACAAACATGTTAATTCAAGGCAGGTTAATGCAGGGACAAGATAACAATGTGTAGGCGATGAGGTCTGTATCAGTAATATTCTGTGATACTCATGTATCATATATCTGTGTGTGTGTGCATTGGCGTGTTTTTCCCCTCGCTCCAGATTAATTGTTAAAATTGTATTCAACTGCACAAAAACATCATGAGGTAAGGCAGAAAGGGGAGACACACATAAAAACACTGAAAGAATCAGACAAGAAAACATCAGACAGGCAGAAGGTGTTTGATGGTTTTATAAGAGAAGGTGGTCGTTAGTTTTGCAACAGAAGAGGGTTGGTTTTACAAAAGAAGGGGAGTTATGGTTTTATAACGGAAATTGGTTGCCAGGTATTATAAGAGAAAATGGTTGACGGTTTTATAAGAAAAGGTTGTTAACAGTTTCACAAGAAAGGGTCATTAATGATTTTATGAGAGAAGGTCATTGATGGTTTTATGGGAGAGGTCATTAATGGTTTTATAAAAGAAGGTAATTGATGGTTTTATAAAAGAAGGTAATTGATGGTTTTATAACAGAAGGTAATTGATGGTTTTATAAGAGAAGGTCATTGATGGTTTTATAAGAGAAGGTAACTGATGGTTTTATAACAGAAGGTAATTGATAGTTTTATAACAGAAGGTAACTGATGGTTTTATGAGAAGGTCACTGATGGTTTTATAAGAGAAGGTCATTGATAGTTTTTTAAGAGAAGGTAATTGATGGTTTTATAAGAGAAGGTAATTGATGGTTTTATAAGAGAAGGTCATTGATAGTTTTTTAAGAGAAGGTAATTAATGGTTTTATAAGAGAAGGTAGTTGACGGTTCTGTCAGAGAAGATGATTGATAGGTTTCATAAGAGAAGGTGGCTGACAGTTTCATTAGGGAAGTTCATTGATGGTTTTTGCAACAGAAGGTAGTTGATAATTTTAGACAAGAAGGTGGCTAATGTTTTCATAAGAGAAGGTGGCTAACAGTTTCATAAGAAAAGGTCATTGATGGTTTTTGAAACAGAAGGTGGTTGATGGTTTTAGACAAAAAGAGGGTTGATGTTTTTATAAGAGAAAGGGTCTGCTGGTTATATAAAAAGTGAGAATAATTTTGCAAACCAAAATAGATCAGAAATTAAGATAGTTTGGAGGACTGCTGATTCTTCTAGTATGCCCTGTCCAAAACAAAACTAGGACGTGCCCCCCCCCCCCCCCCCCAACCCATTAACGTTTGACTCAAAGACCCCCCCCCCTTCCCACACCTACCCTCCTCTACACCAAAAAAAGTGTTAAATATATGCAGTAATGACAATTGTAAAGACAAGTGTTATAAACAATCTTATGTTAGCCTATGTGTATAAAGATGATTTTTGTGGCTCAGTGGCATGTATAACAAGATTCAAAACATAATGTGGAGGCACTCGGTTAGGATAAATACAGGTTCATAAACAGGAGTTAGGTAAATATATGTTCATATGAATACAATAAGAACAGACATGGAATGACTGCACAAAAATGAACAAACATGCAACGAACTGACCATTATAAACTGAACAAAAGAAATAGGCAGAGATGGGAGAACACACTAGACAAAGAAAAATAGTTGAATGAATGAATAAATCAATCAAGAGCTGACATCACTGCACTTGTGGACATTCCCATATGTGCTTTGTCTCCCTTTTCAGCAGCCAAGATTTTCCGTTCTAACAGTGCCAGTTGCCACCTCACTAAAATCTGCCGATGTTTTTTCCTGAGCATTGAATACTTTTCAGAACATCTGATCACCCCCCGCTCAATTCATCTTTCAAGGTATACTCTATTGTTTTTGCTTGACTCCTGACAGCGCTCACAGGTGCACAGACATGAAGGTAAATGCACAGAGGACCCCTACTAGGGAGTGAGGTTAACAAGATGGGAGGGACATGGAATGAGCCACATGTAATATTAATGGACTGGTCGACTTGACGTCCTCAATGTAGCTCATACCAAGGCTCTCACCCAACGCCTCCTTGAAACATGATGCTGAAAAGCAATACAGGATCAGAGAAGGAGAAGAAGACAGGACTGTCACAACTAGAGTGGAGGTATCTAAGAGCAGAACATTACAGTATCAATGTCTGTATGTGGACTATGTGGCGGAGACTGTCACTCCCATATTGGACTCTACAGTCATAGCAGAGGCTGTTCCCAAAACCAGCGGTACATCTCCATGATCCCCAGGGACTGACAGTTGCCTCCTGTCACAGCAATGTTGAAACCGTCTTATCTCACAACATGACTGACCGGCCCACACGTGGGTTCCTTGGGGAAAACAAAACAGACCAACTGTTGTACCTCTAACAAGCATGTCATAAAAGGCTACTAAAAAAGGGTGTGTTGAAACTGGCTGTCTTGGGCAGAAAGGCGCAGATATAAAACAGTTTTCACTCTAAACAAGATTACATTTTTCTGTACACAGATCTTTGTTTTCTCAATCAATGCATGAATAAAACACATATAAAATATGCTAGAATGATTCCCCGTGAGGGGTCCCAGGCCTTGTTGTGAGGAAAACACTGTCTCCCCAACAAAACATCATGAGAGTCAACTAGCTTGGAATTTCCTTCGAATTTGGAGTGCATGTGCCTAAGAGGCAAGGAATCAACAGTCTGCACACAAATAAATCAGATCTGTAAAATGGATGTGCACACAACACTAAGGTTCTGGGACAGGTCTAGAGCCCAGAAGTGCATAAACAACCAGAACTTTCGACAAGAGTGTACAGCCAATGAACATGAAGAAAAAGAGAAGAAGATAGAACAAAAGAAATAGCGTAGATCTTGACAAAATGTTATACCTCGAACACAAACTGGATTCTCTAGAACTGTATAACTTTTACATGACTTGGTGTGTTGTGGTCCTAACTCTGCTGTGTTTGGCTAGGCGTCACAGGCTCATATATGATCGGCATATGAGCTAAGGCACACTCCGTTGCCTGGTATGCTGTGCTGCTATGGAGTCTCAAGGTACAATTCCATATTCTTCTTTGTCGTCCCCTACCTCTTGGTGTTTTTATTTTTATGCTGTATGCTCTTGCTGATGGCATTTACTCTCATAAAATGGCCAAACCATTATAGTCTTTGTTTTTCATTGAATTTAACTATAGGTGTTGCTCCAACAGTTCTTGTAATTTCTTCGTTTCTCCCATGACCTTTTTCAGTTTTGTTCATAGCCTTTCTCAAACATCTCATTCCATTGGTGGTCAGTTTTCTTTTGTGCTCTTTAGTCAATATTTTAAACTTTTGACCTTTTACCTTTTTGTCTACAGATGTTTCTTAATATGGTGTAATGGAGAACAACAACACAAATGTATACCCAATACCTATGGAGGTAAACTATATTGCACATTATATTAATTCATTTTTAATACAAAGAAAAACAACAGTAATATGAAGAAAACATTTTGAATTCACTATTCCAAATTTAAAATAAATATTTTATATCATTTTTATACAGAATATATATATATATATATATGTATTGTTCATAATGTATATTTTGTAACAATATTACATAGACAAGAAACATGGCTAGAGTTTCTCAGTCAGAATGAAAGAAAAGTTTGTGGCAAAACAAAACAAGCCAGGACTGTAAATGGATGTGAACACAAAACTCAATTTCTGAAACAAGACCAAAGTCTAAAAGTGGACAAACAACCAGAACCTTCTGCCACAGTTTGAGACTGGAGTTAATGCTAATAAAGAAAAAGAGGATAAACAAAAAGGTTCTCCACAGGAAACTTTCCTAGAAGTAGTCTTAAGCTTACACAAGTCGGAATTAATTCACAACCCTATCATCATTTCAAAACTCTAATGTGATCACAACACTTCACAATTCTATTGCTATCACATCACATCATATTTTTATGGTTATTACATCATTTTTACAATTCTATGGTGATTACATCATTTCACAATTATATTACGGCCACGCCATGCCACCGTTATACGCTAATTTGATCATTTCAAAACTCTATGATGATCACTAAAATTCACAATTTGATGGTGATTTAACCATTTCACAAATTTATGGTGATTACATCTTTTAAACCCTTCCTGACTTCAGAGCTTCATCATAGGCCTTCTTCAACCTTTTCTTCAGCTCCCCAGGAAACTTGTCATAGCAATTCTTGCACACAGGTTTCTGGTCAAACTCAAAGAACTTTGTCCTGAAGATTAAACAGTTACATGTTTAGGAATAAAAACACATAATTTAGAGTTATGAGACAATGGGGGTAGCGGCAGCTCTGGATTTCATTAGAAGACAACAGATGAAATGGTTTGGCCACATAAAGCGGATGTCAGCAAAAGTTTGCCACATTAACAAATGATGCACAGACCAGGTCGGATGTGAAGAAGAGGATGACCATGCAAATTATGGACAAAGGGAATAGCAGTCCCGGAGAATCCCCCATTTACAAAGGCACTTTTCAGCAAACTATACGCTGTAAGGCACCAGAGAACCAAGATGAAATGAGACAGTTGAGAAAAATATCAGTCTGAAAATATCTATTACTGTTTAGAAATAAATATCTGTATACAGTTTAGGAATACATACAGTTTATAGATACATACACAATCTAAAATACAGTTTTTCTCTTACATCTCAAACTTTCCTTCACATCACACTTTTCTCTTACATCTCAAACTTTCTATCTTACATCACACACTTTTCTCTCACATCAAACTTTTCTTTTACATCACACACTTTTCTCTTACATAACACTTTTCTTTTACATCACACACTTTTCTCTTACACCACACTTTTCTTTTACATTACACACTTTTCTCTTACATCACACTTTTCTTCTGCATTATACATGTTTCTCTTACATCCCACTTTTCTTTTACATCATACTTTTCTCTTACATCACACTTTTCTTTTACATTACACAATTTTCTCTCACATCACACTTTTCTTTTACATTACACAATTTTCTCTCACATCACACTTTTTTTTTACATCACACACTTTTCTTTTACATCACAATTTTTCTCTTACCTCACACTTTTCTTTTACATCACAGACTTTTCTTTTACATCATAATTTTTCTTTTACATCACAGACTTTTCTCTTACATCTCAAACTTTTTATATTACATCACACACTTTTCTCTTACATCACACACTTTTCTCTAACATGAAAAATGTTTCTTAAAAATTACCTAACTTTCCTCATACATAATTTTCAGCCCACAGACACAGAGCCACTGGGATTAAACATGTGGCAATGAAGTGAACCCTTCCAGTTTTGAACAATGTAAACTATCTCTTATCTCTGACTTATAGAAATAAAGAAGTACATACTTTTGGCTCATCTTTTTGTCACAAATGGAACAAGCAAAGTGGTTGACACACCAGGACTTGTTAAAGGCGCTGAACACTGAGGGGACAAAAAAAAGGGAAAATATTTTATAATCATTTATATAAATATATCATCATGGACTGACTGGTGCTAGGCATGCAGCTATGAAGTCCATTTCATCTCAACATAAAAGGTGGAGGGAGCTGATCAGACAGTCAACAGCAAACTGCTGACCTAATGACATGCCATGTTAACAGATGATGATGATGTATATATATTATATTACAACGTCAATGCATTTCAGTGTCCTGTATCCACATTCACAGCAAGCCTGAAAGTCTCTCTTTCTCTAGCCAGTTCTCCAGCCCTGTGTGCTTTCATAGCCAATATATCTTCAATGACCAGCCTCTGCTTCATCTTCTGGAAACTGCCCCCCTCCATCACCATTCTCTCCAGACCACCATGGTGCTTGATATGGGCAGAATACCTCAGATTCCATGATATGATGCTGTTTATGAGCCAGTTCTCTTTGCTAAGAACATTTCTATAGCATTTTTTTGCACAAAATAATGATCCTAAATATAGAAAATCCCTCTTGTTAGTGCCTTTAGGGCCATGAAATAAAATACCTAGCATGTTCGCCTGCCTGCTGACTGGTCACTGGTTCTAACTCCCTGAATCAGATGTTGAAGGGCATAGTAGACCTGATTTCCAGATTGTATTCTAGATTTATTTCTTAATCTAGCACAGGGGTACAGCTAAAATGTGTACCCCAAGTACTTGTATGTTTCTGTTCTTTTGGTGAACAATGGTGATGGTGAGTATAATGATACATGATGACAAATGATGACAGCAATGACATAATGAAACCAACTTACCATCTCCATTGATGATGTTGTTGCACACAAAGCAGATGTTACCAAACAACTGCAGAAGACAAGAATAAATCAATACAGAATTTGTGTTAGCCTAGAAATATTTGCATTCCTGGGTCACAGATTCCCCGTGTGGGTTTTGGGGTTCCAAAAGAACACCCACTGCCCACCTAACTATCATGTTCCAGAATGTGACTTACTAGGGGTGTTTCATTCAAAGTCAGAATGCACCTGCAGGAGAGGCGAGAAACTAACAGTCTGCATACAAATAAGCCAGTTCTGAAATACTGATGTGCACATACAACTCAAGTTTCAAATTAAGATCAAAGTCCAGGGGTAAACAACCAGAGTTTATCTGTTGATTTTAAAGCCAGTGAATGCTATAGTAATGCAAGCTATCAATAATCTTTATAGATACGTTTTCTCATTTATGAAATTAATTTAGACAGCTGACAATTTTGCCAGATTTTGTCTACTTTAATTACATAGAAATTTTTAATGTGCTTTTTTAAAGTCCTTGTCAGAGAAGGCCAGACATCTGATTTATTACTTAACTATCAGGGGCAGAATACCATCCTTTCCAGACCATGACAAGAACCAAGTCTAGATCAGAGGGAGAATACCATTCTTTCCTGACTTTACCAAGAACCAAGTCTAGATCAGAGGGAGAATACAATCCTTTCCTGACCTAGATAAGAACCGTCTGGATCAAAGGGAGAATACCATCATTTTCAGACCCTGGCAAGAATCAAGTCTAGATTAGAGGGAGAATGCCATCATTTTTAGACTTTGACAAGAATCAAGTGTAAATTAGAGGGAAAATCCCATAATTTTCAGACTCTGACTAGAATCAAGTCTAGATCAGAGGGAGAATACCATAAATTTCAGATCCTGACAAGAATCAAGTCTAGATCAGAGAGAGAATATCATCATTTTCAGACCCTGACAAGAACCACGTCTAGACCAGAGCGAGAAATACCATAAATTTAAGATCCTGACAAGAATCAAGTCTAGATCAGAGAGAGAATACCTTCTTTTCCAGACCTTGGCAAGAACCAAGTGTGAATGAACCAGGTGAAGATTGACATCCAAGCTATTTAGCATCAATAAACACTGCATGGCAATTACAGCTCTTCAGCCATAAAATTGTTCTTTTTCTTGATGCCTGTAAAGTCTGGCAGATAGTCTTGGCTGGTTGCCACTTTATGTTCACCTGCTGTAACTGGTTGATTGCCACTTTATGTTCAACGGCTGTAACTGGTTGATTGCCACTTTATGTTCACCGGCTGTAACTGGTTGATTGCCACTTTATGTCCACCGGCTGTAACTGGTTGATTGCCACTTTATGTTTACCGGCTGTAACTGGTTGGTTGCAACTTTTTGTTCACCGGCTGTAACTGGTTGATTGCCACTTTTTGACTTTGGTTTTTTCCAGGACTTGAGTGGTGCGTGCACATCCGTTTCACAGATCCAACTTATTTATGGGCAAACTGTTGGTTCACTACCCAACAAGCAGATTCACTCTGAAATAAAGTGATAGAGCTCAGGACTAGGAGTTCCCAACTTTCTTCCAGCTGCAACCCCATTTTATACCGGGAAAGATGATCCAAGACCCTATAACTAAACATAGGATTTTTAGCTGGGTAAAAGAAACCACATTTGATTATACTTTAAAAATGTTTTCTCTGTATAGAACGCGACTATGTGATGTTTTTTTTTTTTTTAAACATTTTCATAGTTCAACACTGCTTGGTGACCCTGTAGAAAATACTTTGTGACCCCAAATGATGTCACAACCAATGGGCTGGGAACCTGTGGCATAGACCTTCAACCAAACTCCCAGAGAGTGTTTCACTTTTTTGTTTATTACTGACTACTATATAAAGATATATGACAAGAGTAATCAATAAACATGAACAGGGTGAAGCATTCAATATAAAGTATTCAATAGGGTCTAAAAAAATATGCATCAGATGACCTCTATCACTGAGGCTTAGGGGAAATCTGACCTTAATTCCACTTTTAAAAAGCCATTTAGCTCAAAGGAAAATTCCCCTTAACTCTTTCAGTCCCAGAGGGTTTAGTATCAGAGGCCCAAGGGATAGTCAAGAAATATGTAAAATCAGCGCATCTTATGTTCAGTGGGCTTCTAGGTTGAAATCTATGAAAGTATGATGCATTCCTTGGGACTGAAAGAGTTCAATGCGATTTTTAGTTAATTTATTAATATCCTGACCTCCTAAAAATTTATGCAGACACAAAAACAGCCAATAACATTAACTATGCGTCTCGTAAACAGGTCACTAAACAAAAGTAGGAAAAGTGACATCTACAGTGATCTGGATCTGACTGGAGGCTTCTTTGGTGAAAGGATTATGTGTGTTCCTGGGACTCCTAGACTACCAAATGGGAAACAATGCTGTCAAGAATGTGCAACTCACTTGTAAATAATTTGTTCCTGTGACTCCCAGACTACCAAATGGGAAACAATGCTGCCAAGGATGTGCAACTCACTTGTAAATAATTAGTTTCTGTGACTCCTAGACTACCAAATGGGAAACACTGCTGCCAAGAATGTGCAACTCACTTGTAAATAATTTGTTTCTGTGACTCCTAGACTACCAAATGGGAAACACTGCTGCCAAGGATGTGCAACTCACTTATAAACAATATGAGATCACTCACCTGGTGGTAATGAATCTCACAGTAAGCCAGCCCCTTCTTCTCATAGTGCCGGGTTCCTAAAAATGGTTTCTCACACTTGGCACACACAAAATGCTGGGAAGACATGGCACAGGAATTAACACAGTTAGGAAAGTAATGATACCTATACAAGAGGGCAATGATACATGGATAAGAGGACAATGATACCTATACAAGAAGACAGTGATACATGGATAAGAGGACGATGATACCTATACAAGAGGGCAATGATACATGGAAAAGAGGGCAATGATACAAACACAAGAGGAGTGATACATAGATAAGAGGACAATGATACACACACAAGATGACAGTGATATATGGATAAGAGGAAAAGGCTATAAACACAAGAGAACAATGACAAATGGATAAAAGGGCAATTGTACATAAACAAGAGGATGGTGATACATGGATAAGAGGATAACAGTACATAACAAAAAGACAAAGATGAATGGAAAAGATAATGCTACACACACAAGAGGACAATGATACATGGATCAAAGGCCAATGATACACAGAAAAGATGTATCCACTAAATGGTCAAATTTTACCAACAAATCACAAAAGGCTGCCCCACACAATTTATATAACACCAGTGAGAATCTTCTTTTCCTCCTCCATTCACCCTTAGGGTTTGATGAAATCTGATATCACAGTCTAGCTGTAAACCATAACAAAACATGCCAAATGCTTTTTTAAATAGTGAATGCTGCTGCTGCTTAAGAACGAAGAAGAAGCAGCAGAGGAAGAGGAAGAGGAAGAAGAAGAAGAAGGAGGAGGAGGAGAAGAAGAGGAGGAGGAAGAGGAAGAAGAAGAGGAGGAGGAAGAAGAAGAAGAAGAAGAAGAAGAAGAAGAAGAAGAAGAAGAAGAAGAAGAAGAAGAAGAAGAAGAAGAAGAAGAAGAAGAAGAAGAAGAAAAAGAAGATTGTGAAAAATAAAAATAATAATAATAATACTTTTGACAAACAGATACCTACTTCAACATGCCAGGTCTTTCCAAGAGCATGGACAACTCTCTCCTCAATAGGCCTTCGACAAGCTCCACAGATGGGTATACCCATCTTGTCATGGCAGCGCAGGCAGTAGAGCTCCAGGTCCTTCTCTCGAGCATCTTCTTTCAGTTCCACTCTATAGCCACACAGATAATAATCAATAATGTGTGTCAGAACAGTTCAACTATACATGTTCCAGTCATAACAATGCTTATTTCACAAAAAACAACAGTAAGTCAGTCCTCATCAAGTGTGTACACTGTGCAGACTAGCAGGCATCACTCCAGAAGTCTTAGATAGTTAGCGTTCTTTAGATATTTTCTCCAGGTCATGCAAGAGTGTTGGGAAATAAAGAGACAGAGAGCTGGTTATGCACCAAAGGGTAGAGATTTATGCATGACAAGCTAGATGTGGTTAAGACCCTTTGAGAGCAGGTGAACAATGAGGAGGCACAAACAGATCAATATGGTCTGGACAGAATAGTAAGCTAAGAGTGACCAGGATTCTGGTCAATACTCTACACTCAGAGGAAAGGCAAGACGGACATATAATTAATCTGCAGTTGACACCATGGTAAGGATGGAGAGCTTAAGCGAATGTACCAAGTGCTGTGCTGTCAGTTCTTAGTTCTCCCCATGTGGGTTCTAGGGCCCAGTTATAGGGAGGAAAAAGAATAGACCTACTGCCTACCCAAAAGCATGTCATAAGAGTCGACTAATTGGGAGCTTCCTTCAAAGTCAGAGTGCATCTGCCTGAAAGGCAAGGAACCAGCAGTCTGCATACAAATTAGTCAGATCTGTAAAACGGATGCACACGTAACACCCAGGTTCTGGAAGAGGAATGCAGTCCAAAAGTGAATGAACAACCAGAACTTTCCGCCAGAGTTTACAGCTGGTGAACATGAAGAAGAAGAAGTTCTTAGTTCAACAATGAACACTTATCAACAACATTTAAGTGTGTACAGACTGAAATGGGCTTCCTGTTTCTACCCACTTTATGATCTCCAGCAGTGTAAATCAATTCATGTGCTGACACAACAAATAAATGAAGGAATAAATCAAGAACTGAAATCATTGCACTTCAGTAGCCAATGAAAAGTCAACATGCTAAAAGTATCAGCTGCAAACTGATTAAAAGTCTGTGTATGTTTTCCCTTCAGTGCTGAATATCTTCCAGAACATCTACTCACCCCTGCTGAATTAGTCTTTCCGTGTATCAATTCTCTGTCTGTTTTACTGCACTGGCCATTTGATCCCAGTGAGCCTTCACTATATCTGCTTAATCATAAAGCAGCTCACTGCACAAAGGAGTGGCAGCAGACACACCCAAATCTCCTGGACAGAAAATCTGTGATATGGTGACACCATTCCATGCCGTAACAAAAAAGTGTGAAGAATCTCTTCATTCACAATCATCATCATGTCTCGTCTCCATTCTGTTCCATGCTGCACAATCACTTAGAATTCATAGAAGGCATCTAGTCCAGCCCCGCTGGCATCTCACCAAAATTCTTGACGTGAGGGTTTCGGGGCCCATTGTGTGTGTGTGTGTGTGTAAACAAAAATGTGGGGGGGGGGGGGGGGGGGGGGGGGGGGGGGGGGGAGACAGACGAACTGCTCCCTAAAAAGCATGTCATGCATAATTAATTACAAAATTTTCATTCAAAGACACAGTGCATCTGCCTGAGAAGTGAGGAACCAACAGTCTACACACAAACAGACCAGATCTATAAACGGACACACATGCAAAACTCAGGTTCTGCAACAAGACTAAAGACTAGATGGACAACTAAAAATGTATGCTGGAGTATACAGCCAGGGAAAACAAAGGAGAAAAAGAAGAAGAAGAAGAAAAAGAAGAAGAAGATGAAGAAAAAGAAGAAGAAGATGATGATGATAATGAACCTTCATTCTATAGTTTCTCTTGGACATCCTTATCTCCCCAACCATCCATCTCTCCATCAATCTGTCTCCCAGCCCAGTGTCTGCATGGTGACTCTCTGCCCACCTCTTTCCAGGATATACTCAACACATCACCATCTTCCCTGTCCCATACCTGCTGACATCAGTGCTTGTCTGGACATTTCTTTCATGTTCTCATCTCTCCTGAACACATCCCATTGCATATTTCAAAGGTCTCAGAAGTAGATGAGCTGCTTATTATGCAATGAGCAGAAAGATATGCAACAATGTCAGAGTTAACCCTTTCATTCCGAGAATGCTAAATAACATTTGTCCTGAACCAGTGGGAATTCTCTAACACAAACCTCAAAAAAAAAACATAACATGTTTTTGACACTTATTTATCTGCATTTGAAATTATTGTTTTCCTAAATATATAAATATATATCAGGGGTCATTAATAAATACGGAAGGAGCATTAAATACATTTCACCAGGCATACAAAATAATATGTACCTGTTGACTCACACTATCAGCCTGTGACCTCTAGCTCCGAGGCTTATGGGAAAATATGACATTAACCTAACTTTAAAAAAGACTTTGGGATCATAAGAAAACCTCTCAATGCTACATCTGATAAATATGTTTACAATGGGGCCACATAAACACGACAAAGGTGTACTAACACCAGTGGTATTTAACCTTGCTTCTTCTTCCATTCAGAGTGTCTGGAACAAGACTACAGTCCAGAAGTGGATGAACAGTCATAACTTTCTACTGGAGTTTACAACTAGTAAAAGCAAAAAAGAGAAACTACACTTTTTATAAAAAAAAATGTCATTGCAGAAATGGCCAAAGACTGGCATTTACTTGGTTGTGTCACAATTAAAAGTGACTAGATTTAGCTTTCTTGGGGCAAAATAGTCACAAGTCTACAAGCGGGAATACTTACCCACAGTTGTGACAATTAAAGTGGTATGGGTGATAAGCTTCTCCTTTCCACTTGAGATGCCCTCCCTCAATGATAGAGCTAAAAAACAAAACAGCACCAAGTCAAATATAAACATGTGATCATGACTCTTATTTCCCAGCCAACACACTATGTGTGACTGGATATTATGCATGTGTCTTCTGTCACAGATCTATACGTTATAAATATTTGTTTGTCTTACAATTAACTTGTTTTGTTTTTATTTTAAAGCACTTAGAGATATTTTCTGGGAGCCACTGTAGTGTAGTTGCTAGGTGCTTGCCTGAGGGTCCGAAGGTCTTGATTTCAAATATGAACAGAGCCCGACTTTTTTCAAAAATCAGATTGGCTCCCACATTAAATTAGCCTTAAATGACTATGAGGTAAAGTCCTGGGAAGTAGAGGAGGTCAGCATGATGTCAACCATATAGCCCACCGAGTGCCTATTGGTCTATAAAAGATAAGTATAGCACTAGACACCCAATACGCCTGAAGGAGTGAAAAAGGGTACTTTATGTATTTTCTACCCGTGTTGTTGGCCATTTGAATGTAGTATAGCCATACGGTTGCTGTCACCGTTGCCTCCATGGGGCTTTAGGCATGACTATGTGGGACTGAAAGATATCTGTTGAACCAATGCTAAAGCATATATGAACATATTATGAATGCGATACGTGTTAAAGGTGTGCACGTTTTATAATGAAATCAACATGGACAATAACTTGTCTTTTTACTGGATTAATTTAATCTAAAAAATAGGTTATTTAAAAAAAATTCTTGCTTGATTACAAATAAAGTGCAGAGCAACAAAAATAAACAGTGTAACTGAGGCAATATCTTCTTCTTCTTCGCGTTCACCAGCTGTACACTCTGGCGGAAAGTTCTGGTTGCTCGTCCATTACTGAACTGCAGTCCTGCTCCAGAACCTGAGTGTTGTGTGTGCATCAGTTTTACAGATCTCATTCTCTTGAATACAGACTGTTGGTTCCTTGCCTCTCCGGCAGATGCACTCCGACTTCAAAGGAAGCTCCCCAATTAGTCGACTCTTACGACATGCTTTTGGGGAGGCAGTGGGTCTTTTCTTGTTTTCCCCACAATGGGGCCCCGGAACCCACACAGGGGACTGAGGCAATTTGACAATTAGGTTAAAAAAAAAAAGACAACCTGATGTATAACCAACATAACAGAGGCAACAAACACCAAGATGCACCAATCACATACCAGAACTCTTTTGAGACCAGATCCTGAATAAAGCAGGAAAAGAAACGAGAGATAACTCACTGGCATTTGAAACAGAAGTATTTTCCCAGTCCTTTGGCTTTCTCCATAGCATTGCAATCTTTGCACAATGCCCTGTGGAAAACAGTTAAATCTGCAGTTATCTACTGAAAATTAGCTACCTTATAAAGGTAATGGTCAGCATCTGTGGTTTACGGGTTGTGAATGTGCTTCATAATTCAGAGGTGCTGAGTTCGATCCCAGCTGCAGGCGATCAGACAGCAGATCATACACAGCAGATCACCTTCCAATGCTTTTAAGTGGTAATAAAAGCCAACATTTACAAGCAATGGCAAACCACTGAATTTAAAATTACCTAGTAAATTTACAACCAACAAAATGCTTACTTTTCAAGTGGCATTGAAAGCCGAATATTTACAAGTAATGGCAAACTACTGAATTTAAAATTACCTAGTAAAATCACAGCCAGAAAAAAAAATGTTTAGGTTAGTTCTGCAACGTCCTGTAAAGGAGATGCTACTAACTTTAAGAACACACTGGTCCCATAGGAGATAGGGGCTGTGGCATGTGAAGCAGCAGGCTTTCACCTATTCTAGATCATACAATATAAGGTAAGGTGCTAGCTATAACATTCCCACCTCAAACAATTCAAATGAAAATTGTTTGGCATTTAGGATTATGATGTCACCTTGATCCCCAGAGTAGCAATGGTAAAGGAGCCTTTTGGCCGCCTTAGACAGGTTGAGTAAATAGTCAAGGAGACTCTTCCACGATTTCAGACATATTTTTATTGGCCATAAAGTTCTACAACTACACTTGATTGATACTTATGGGTGATGTGGTCAACATCATGTCGGTCGCCTTCACTTCCCATGAATTTATCTGGTACCAATTTAAGGCTGGATCTACTAGGGAGCAAAGGTCAACCTCACACATTTTACAAAATAAAAAAGTATTCTATGCAATCTTTCTCAGACAGAATCCTCAAGAGCCATTTCATGATATATGGGAATGAATCAGCAGTGACAAATTAAACGGAAGCGGTGGAGATGTGGTTCCTCAGATGAGTGTCAACCTTGGACTGCTAGAGTAACCAATGGGAACTGCTTCAAAGAAGCTAATGATAGCAGATCAATATATTTAGCTATAAGGAAAAGTCAGGCACTGTTCTTTGGTTATGTGATGGGGGAGGGGGGGGGGGGGAGAGAAGCTTTGGAGAATACTGTGATGACTGGGAAGATCAACAATAGAAGAGGAAGAGGCAGACCAAGAGATGATGACTGATGGACTGCCATGATGGCACAAAGAGATATTATCAGTGAAAGTGATCCAGAGAACACGGGACAGAGATCTGAGTAAATGCATGAACGCCTACGCCAGTGCTGGTGGTAAAGATGAGGGTTTACACATAAATGATGAGAATACCATGGACAGATAAAAAGAGTAATAAAGACGAGTAATGAAAGAAAATGATTTATGAAGAGAACTGACTGCCCACATCATGCCAAGAGAAGGAGAAAACTGGAGTACATCATGACAGGGTGAAAGTTGGAGGGGAGGAGAGGCAGAGGGAGACCAAGATAGATGATGCTGGACAGTCTGACATCATGCTATGGAAGATCAGCTGTGTCAGTATCGATACAAGTACATGAGACCGAAGGTTGTGAACAGATATGACTACCAACGTCACATGATAGGGACTATGGAAGATCAGCTGTGTCAGAAGTGACTGCAAGTACATGAGACAGAAGGTTGTGGACAGACATGACTACCAACGTCACATGATAGGGACTACAGAAATAAAAAAACTGAAAACCCTACACATGTCAGTTTGTGGTACAGTGAAGGTCAATAAAAGACTAACCTGGCCTGGCTCTTAACAAATCCTTCGTCTGCCAAGACCTTGGCACAGACAAAGCATCGAAAGCATTCAGGATGCCAGGAGGCATTCATGGCCTTAATCACACGACCACTGATAAACTCTCCTAGTAGGAAAAAAATGAACAGGAATGAAAACATAAATAATGTAAAATCCTACTGCCAAGAACCTAAGTTAATTTTCCTGTCAAGAACCTACACTGTCTATGGTTTGAACCTACTGGCTGCGCTGCAAGCTAATGACAGGAAAACACTGCTGACAAACACACCCAAGCCAAACACTGGTTGAAACAAACACACAATCTTTATTATCAAAAGAAACTAACTAGTAGAGGCTTACATCTCAGTAGGGGTAGTGCTCCTTATTCTGAAACCCGGCCGCTTCTAACTTTACAATCGCTAGTCGTGCCTTTTCATGTTCATGAAATAAGCTCCGAGCCACTACCACACTCCCGTACAGCGCTAACTCAACTCCCTGTCACCCCCCCCCCCCCCCACCATGCCAAAGACGCTATGACACACACCACGTGTGGGCTTGAGGTGTGTCGACAAATGCTAACGCCACAAAGCTGTAACTACTGACAAAGTCTAACTGCTACCCTGAATCTAATGCTAACTGAGATCTAAATGGAACACGTATTATCTACTCTGTAACATATTAAATACATTTAACCACACTACGAATGGTACGCATTACAGCTAATAACTACGATGGTACATTTCTACTAGTCAGTACGAACGGTCAATGAAACTATCACAATCTAATGGTCCGGTCACACACGATGTCTACAACACAGTCTTCCACCTGGAGAGTTCTGATCTGTGCTTTGCACAGATGTTTTGTTGAACTCCCAGGGACCTATATGCCAGGCCTAAGTTTAGTTAGGGGTCACCGCGTATGATATTGTTGATCTACTATCATCACACTGAACTGTTCCATAACCTAGACGACCCCTGACATCTTCTGTGGATAAAGTCATCAATAACACTGAAAACAAACTTGAATAAGTAAGTTGAAAAAAAAATGATAAAAAGGACAGGAAATTTTCTACAAAAATGGTTCAGTCTTTTCTATATTGCACTGACATGTTATTCCCGAATACAGTGTACTTATATGTTAGTCCTGTATTAAAAATACAGAGTACAGAGTGCACCAGTCTGTTGGTTCTGTACAGTGACATTATTATTGCTAACAATAAACAAACAATACCCACCACATTTGCCACAGCTGGGAGCAAATAGAACACAGAAGTCATGCTCACAGTACTTTCTGCCTTCAAACTGCAACAAGAAAACACTTTAGGATGAGACACTCATCATCAGTTCTCGTTATGCCTAGTGGCACTTGAGGCTTCAGAGAGGACTTTCCATGCTTTCCTGTCCTGTGCAATCTTCAGTGCAATTTTCCATGTCAAAGATGCCGCACTCAGGTCACTTTCCGTTGTTCGTCTCCATGTTGTTTTTGGGCGCCCCTGTTTTCTCTTTCCCTCTGGTGTCCATGTGAGAGCTGTTTTGGCAGGTATATCAGAAGTCATTCTCATAACGTGGCCAAGCCATTTTCATCTTCTCTTGGTAATCATACCGTCTAAAGTTTCTTGGTTTGTGGCTTGAAGTAGTTTAGTGTTTGAGATTGTATCAGGCCAAAAAATTTGATAATTCTACGTAGACATGTGTGGTGGAAGGTGGACAGCTTGTGTGCATCCTTTTTGGTCATTCTCCAGCATTCCGCTCCATAAAGAAGAACTGGCAAAATGATGCTTTTGTAGAGTCAGAGTTTCGTTCCTCTGCAGTAATTGTTGGATTTCCAGATTTGCCTCAACCTTCCAAAAGCAGCTCTAGCTTTGTTCAGACATGACTGTATGTCTTCCTCTGTCCCTCCCAGTAGGGACACCACACTGCCAAGATATGTGAAATGTTTTACATTTTCAAGTGATTGATTACTTATGGTCACTGGTTGTTGGTTTGACTGTTTGTCATGATCTTAGTTTTCTTTGTATTTATTCTCAGTCCCACCATTTCTGCTGTGCAGTTTAGTCTGTTACTTTTCTCTTGTATATGTTCATGTTTATGTGATAGGAATGCTATATCATCTGCAAAATCAAGGTCCTCAAGCATGGTGAATGGAGTCCATCGTATGCCTCTTAATGTCTTGTCTACTGTGTTCTTTAGTATCCAATCAATCACAAGGTTGAAGAGGAGAGATAACATAACATATCCCTGTCTTACATCCGTCTTTACTGGGAAAGATGTATTGTAATTTTTTATACTGCAGGAAAAGTCTTTATAGAAGAGAGCAATTATGTTGACTATTTTTTCTGGAATTCCATAATGTCGTAAAATTTTCCACAGACCGTCTCTATGGACGCTGTCAAAAGCTTTCTCAAAGTCCACAAAATTTGTATACATACTTCTCTGCTATTCGTTGCATTGTTCTAAAATGTTACATATGGCGAAGATGTGCTCAGTTGTTCCTTTGCCCTTTCTGAATCCTGCTTGTTCCACTCGTAGGAATTTATCTACTCCTTTTTCAAGCCGCATTATGTGCAAAATATTTTGCTTGGTACTGAGAGTAGAGTAATTCCCCTCCAATTATTGCAGTCTGTTAAGTCTCCTTTTTGGGGGATTTTGACTATTGTTCCTTCAGTCCAGTCATCAGGCAACACTTCTTTTTCCCGAATATCCTTGAACAATGGTTTTAGAATGCTAGCAGTTGTGTTGGGATCTACTTTGAGAAGTTCTGCTGGCAGTTCGTCTTTGCCTGGTGCTTTGCCGTTCTTTAAAGTGTGGATAGCTTTAAGGATTTCTTGTTTGCTTGGTGATTTAGTAATAATGTTGAGAAACTCGATCACATGTTATAATGAAGTAAAGTCAAAGATACTTGTCCATGCCCTCATGTGTACTGGGCATATAATGCTACATCTATATTTTACAGACCAATCTGCGCTCTGTAGGCAATGTGATTAACATCATGCTGGCTAAATTTACTGCCCAGGACTTTACCTGCTACCCATTTAAGGCCAGTTTAAAGTGGTAGCCAAAGTCTTTTTTTTTTAAAGTCAGGTTCCGTTCGGACTTGAACCCATGACCTTCGGATTTGCAGATAAACATCTAGGGCAGCTCCCTTATAATAAGCTAATATTCTTTTGTACGAACATTCCTTGCCTGAATAACATAAGCTGACTTATGCCATTTAAAGAAACTGAGTTGGATTGTGCCAATTTGCTTCAACAGCCAGCAAACAGTTGCAATTCCAATTAGCAGTTTAAATGGCTATTTTTTTTTTACTATTGCATTTCCTATTTTTGTTATCACTGTCTGTGGAGTTAATGCAACATACTCTTAATCAACACTTAAAGATATAACCTGTATTTTATTCAATGTAAGTTCCCTTGTGCACTGATATAGTGAGTGGCACAATCTAACAAACACTAGAACGACGTCTGTAGTTCTTCTGTTGTTATGGTCCTTAAAGTCGATGTTACATCCCTTCGGATGTCATCAGTATCGTCAAAGAAGCGTCCTTTCAGTGGTAACTTTAATTTTGGGAACAGAAAATAATTACAGGGAGACAAATCTGTGAAATAGGGTGGATGGCTGAGAACACACACCTTTTTTGGGACCTAAAAAATCCTGTAAAACTACCGCCCCGTGATCCGGTGCATTGTCATGATGAAGGAAAAACTGCCATGTGTTGAATACTTGGGTCAGACTCGGAGAATCCTTTTCCATCGACTTTTCAAAATACTTGAATAAACTGTGGCTGTGACAGTCTGTAACTCTGGAATAAATTTTGTGTGAATAACTCCTTTGTAGTCGTAGGAGCACACCAATATTGTCTTCAGTTTTGACTTCTGAAGACAAATTTTTGGCCTTTTGGTGATGATGATGACTTCCACTGAGCACTTTGGCGTTTAGTTGTGGGATCATAGCAGAAAACCCATGTTTCATCCTTTGCAACAATCCGATATTTATTTCTGTGACACGTTTTGATAATGTCTTTGGCATACTCAATACGCTGATGTTTTTGGTCATCAGACAACGAATCTGGTTCAAACCAGCAAGCAACCTTTTTTCCCCCTAAATCTTTCACTAAAATTTTACAAATGGTTTCTCTATTAGCAACAAATTTATCTACCATCATCCTCACAGTCAAACAATTTTCTTGTATCCGTTCTTTAATTTTTGCAATAAGTTCCTCATTACGAACAGAAATTTGGCATCCAGGTCTATTATCATTAGTAACAATTTCCACACCATTTTTGAATTGTGAATACCACCAGAAAACCATAAACTTGCCTTATCTTTCCTCTGATGATTATATGTCTGCTTCATCTTTCCTTTGATGATTATATGTCCGCCTCATGTTTCCTCTGATGATTATAAAATCAAACCTCATCTTTTTCATGATGATTATACATTCACCTTGTCTTTCCTCTGATGATTATATGTCCACCTTGTCTTTCCTTTAATGATTATATGTCCATCGTGTCTAATGGAGCGTTGTGCTAGATCCCCTGATCAGTCCTACTGCTCCACTCTCCATACTGTAATGACTTCCATTCTCTCCACAACATAATGATTTGCTTGTCTTTCCACATTGTTCACTTGCTCCCAAAGGGCTTTGATCCCAATCTACCTTACCATGCAACAAGTCACCACCCAGTTGTGCAACACCAGCCAATTTGTCTGCTGTTTATTTCCTAACACAGCTGCATAGTCGGGAGAAAATATCCACTGGACATTACCCAGGGGCCTCTGAAGTGATGCTTGCCACTCTGCACAGGGTGTGCCTGTCTCCACCTTACTCAGCAATCTGTTACAGCATGTGTGGGCAGCTGGTAGTCTGGATGTTAAACAAGGCAGAGGCAAAGATATTAAAATCTAATTCAATCAACCCACAATCCCTGTTTCCGAAGTATTCATTCTTGTTTCATTTTTGGCTACAGTAAAATATTTTCTGTAAACAACTAAAGAAAAAGAGACCTACCTCAAAAAATCGGCCCTCTGGAAATGGTTGAAAGCACTGAGCACAACTACAGTTTAGAAGCAGAACATAAAACTTATTAGGCTCTGCAAACAAAAAAGTACATCAAAATAGGCAGCAACACTGTGTTTAATAATAATAATAATAATAATAATATCACACCCAGAGGTAATGGGGTCTACCAGGGAACTAATACCGCCAAGCTCTTTCTATGTTGGTAAACAAATACCTCAAACTTGTTTAGGTTAAAGTGTAAAGGTCAGAAGATTGACTTCACTACACTGGGTTTTATCCCATATAGCTGAGCCACCTCTTGCCACACAAAGTACAAACTCTGTAACTCCAACCACAATCCATAAGAATCTCCAAAATACTGCACTCGTGAAAGGAATGACACATCCATGAACTTGTTCAGGAACCATGACTAATTCAGGCTAAACTTAGCTTTTAAGTGCTGTACCAACACATGACCTAGTTACATTCTAATGCCTGATTATACTCTTGTTAATGAGATTCTCCATATATTTGTTCTTTCTCTCTCCCCCACACACACACACACATATGCTCACATATGCATGAACAGAATATGTACACAAACAGATGTAACAGCTCAATGAGTGTACTCACACAAAACAGTCAGTGTGCCAAACCTGCCCACTGGAGTTCACAATCTGTTCATCAATCCTAAAGCCTTCGTTACATCGCTGGCACACAGCACTGCTTAGCGTCAACATGGTGCTGTTTTGGAGAAAAGACAATATCTAACATTACTCAAACAATCAGCTAAAACAGGTGTGCTTCATGCAGAGTGGCAAGCATCACTTCAGAGGTCCCAGGTAGTTAGCATCCTTTGGATATTATCTCCAGCCTATGCCGGTGTGTTGGGAAATGAGCAGGCAGATAGACTGGCTGGCTCTGCACCACTTGGTGGTGAGCTGATGTATGACGTTAGATATTGTGAAGGCCCTTTGGGAGTGAGTGAACAGATAGATCATTACTGTCTAAGGAGAGTGGCACTGCGAGGAGTTACCAGGAAATCTGGCCGTTGCTCAACTCTCAGGGCAAGGATGAGACGGATTTACAATCAGATGGTTACTGGTAGCATCGGAAATAAATCTCTTCGCTGGCTGCTGAAGATGGGGACTGAGCACTTATGGGAGTGTCCCGAGGGCTGTGATATGGATTCTTAATTCAACATTCAAACAATAAACTTAGAAAGAGAATTAGTTAGTTAGTCAACAGATTATCCGTACTGCAATCTGAACCATTCAGTCCAAAAGTGCTCTGATCCCTCCTTAGTTCTTTCAGGACCAATCACCACTTAAGTGGCTCCTGAATCCAACAGGTTTGGACAGATCACCAATTAAGTGGCTCCACCTATTGACACTCTAATATTGTTTTGTTTGCTGGGAAAATAAACTTGTATAAATGTCTTGAAAAACTAGAATTAGGAAGTTATGCGTGTGTTTTCCTAACTTTCTGATTTATTTTAAATTTGTTAGATGTCATACACTTTTTACATGATTTTTCTATACCAAACGATGAGGAAAAAGGTCTAGAAGTGCCCATACTGCTCTGCTGTTGATGAATCTCAACCAGATTGCAAGTGACAACCTAATGGTGATAATATAGGTTAGGAGGATGCTTAAAAAATATTTCAATTAGATCATCTCTGTTTTGATCAGTTGTTTTCCTGATTTTTGGCTGTTGTGAAATCTGACAAACCATTCAAAAATGGTTATAACATCCAAAGTATTTGAATTAATTGTTTCAAATAATGACTAGCTGATACATAACTGTACAGAGAAGGCATGTGAAGAATTTGATAGCAGTGTTGCTCCACAAGTAAAAAAATAAGGTAAGCACAAAATTTTGTGTGTAAATAATCTTTATGTGTCTTTAACATCCTTGAATGTTGTGTGATTAAAAAAAATATTCTGTTGTCATACCGCACTGAAACAGTTAAGATTTATTCTGCACTTATTCATTTCTCTTTAATTTGATATATTATATGTCCCTATACAGCCAATACTTTTTCTTCAGTGAGGTTTTAGCTTTATCATGTTTCAGTAAAAAATTCCGCTCAAAATTAATGCTGTTCGAACCCTAGAAATAACATTGTCCTGAAAGAGTTAATAAATCCCACAGCGTGCAGTGGCTGATGACACCAGGTCTGTCTTCTTCTTCTGCCTTCTAACCCCTAAAGAAGGAGCTCAACCTTTTCTTCAGCTGCTGGTCCACCAGGTCTGTGTTGGTTTATTATGCTTATTTGGCAACCTGCATAGTGCTCTTATCTAGCCACACCCCTTTCTAACTTGCTGTTCTTGCAGTCTGGTCATGATTGCAGATTCACAGTCACTTGGTTCTAGCAAACACCTTACTTCTTGTAAAGCGTTCAGTATACCAGCCTCGTCCATGGCCTATTCATCCTTCACAACAGCCTTACCTGCAAGATACAATCAGCTTGCTCATTTCTTTTCACATCTACATGCACTTGAAGGACAATTTGTAAAAATGTGAGTGTTTCATGTGTCACTGGGTAACTGCTGTGTGGCATCAAGACTGGGTAACAGCTGTGTGGCACAGAGAATGGGTAACCGCTGTGTGGCACACAGAGTGAGACTAGGTAACTGCTGTGTGGCATAGAATGAGACTGGGTCACTGCTGTTTGACACAGAGTGAGATTGGGTAACTGCTGTAAGGTATAGAGAGAGATTGGGTAACTGCTGTATGGCACAGAGTGAGATTGGGTAACTGCTGTGTGGCATAGAGTGGGACTAGGTAACTGCTATGTGGCATGGAGACAGGGTAACCGCTATGTGGCATAGAGACTGGGTAACTGCTGTGTGGCATAGAGTGAGACTAGGTAAATGCTGTGTGGCATCGAGACTGGGTAACATCTCTCTGACACAGAGACTGGGTAACTGCTCTGTGACACAGACACTGGGTAACTGCTGTGTGGCAAAGAGAGTGGGTAACTGCTGTGTGGCATAGAGTGAGACTAGGTAACTGCTGTGTGGCATAGATTGAGACTGGGTAACTGTTGTGTGGTATAGACTGAGACTGGTAATCGCACTGTGGGATAGAGTGAGACTAGGTAACCGCTGTGTGGCATAGACTGAGACTGGTAATTGCTGTGTGGCATAGAGTGAGGCTAGGTAACTGCTGTGTGGCATAGTGAGACTGGGTAACCGCTGTGTGGCACGCAGAGTGAGACTGGGTAACTGCTGTGTGGCACAGAGTGAGACTGGGTAACTGCTGTGTGGTATAGACTGAGACTGGTAATCGCACTGTGGGATAGAGTGAGACTGGGTAACTGCTGTGTGGCATAGAGTGAGACTGGTAATCGCTGTGTGGCATAGAGTGAGACTGGGTAACTGCTGTGTGGCATAGAGTGAGACTGGGTAACTGCTGTGTGGTATAGACTGAGACTGGTAATCGCACTGTGGGATAGAGTGAGACTGGGTAACCGCTGTGTGGCATAGACTGAGACTGGTAATTGCTGTGTGGCATAGAGGGAGACTGGTTAACCGCTGTGTGGCATAAAGTGAGGCTAGGTAACTGCTGTGTGGCATAGTGAGACTGGGTAACCGCTGTGTGGCACGCAGAGTGAGACTGGGTAACTGCTGTGTGGCACAGAGTGAGACTGGGTAACTGCTATGTGGCATAGAGTGAGACTGGGTAACTGCTGTGTGGCATAGACTGAGACTGGTAATCGCTGTGTGGCATAGAGACTAGGTAACCAGTGTATGGCATAGAGACGAGCAACTGCTGTATGGCATAGAGTGAGACTGGGCAACTGCTGTATGGCACAGAGTGAGACTGGGCAACTGCTGTATGGCACAGAGTGAGACTGGGCAACTGCTGTATGGCATAGAGTGAGACTGGGTAACTGCTGTATGGCACAGAGTGAGACTGGGCAACTGCTGTATGGCATAGAGTGAGACTGGGCACCTGCTGTGTGGCATAGAATGTCCAGTTCTGTCTTTCAGCATCAGCTTATAAAGAAGCTTTGGATGACAGCCGTAGTATGTTTTGTGTAGATGCTGGTATTTACCACTTCAGATATTTCATCTGTCCATTGCCTGCAGGTCAACCTCTAGCTTGGCTTTCAGTATGTAACAGGTCTCTCTGTGGTGCGCTTTCTGACTATAGTCGTGAAACATGTCTAAACCATTTGATCTGTTGTCCCTTGATGTAGTGTAGGACTGGTTCCATCCCAACTTCTTTTTTGATACCGTCATTTCTGATTCTGTCTCTTCTAATTATATTTAGTATTCATTATCCCTGTGTGGGTTCCGGGGCATCATTGTTGGGAAAACAAGAATAGATCTACTGCATTCTCAACAAGTATGTCGTAGGAGTCGACTAATTTTGGATTTCCTTTGAAGTAGGAGTGCACCTGCCTGTGTGGCAAGGACCAACCAAGTGCACAAAAATAAGCCAGTAAAATGGATGTACACACAAAACTCACACCCTGGCAGAAATCCAAAGTCCAAATGGACAAACAACCAGGACTTTTCATTAGAGCTTACAATTGGTGAACAAGGAAAAATAGAAGAAGAAAAGGATTCATTGTAGAAATTGCATTTCTGTTGTTCCCAGTTTTCTTGTATCTTTTGTTGATAATATTGACGTTTAGCACTGGCTGTGAGACTAAGTAACAATTTTCTGAGAACAAGTCACTAGAATGAGAGTGTTTTTATTCCCAGCATCACCAGAAACCTATGTATGTATTTGATTTTTATTTTAATTTATGAAATACCAACTTATTCTTCTGCATGTCTGCTTCACCATAGACTCAATGTGATTTTCTAATTGCTTGCTCACTGTCCAGGTCTTCTGCACTCTACTGCATTTATCATGTGATTTGTTTTCTTACATAAGGCAGAATTGCCTACCTTAAACTGCCACTGCTTTCACCAATTTTAATAACTGGTTTTTTAATAGGTTATTAGTTAAATTTCAGAAGATGGAAGAATGAATAAAGAAATCCAACAAAGATACAATATTGCCAATCAATTTTTAGGCCAAATGGCACCAATTTTAAAATACAAGTATGTGAATATGAACACTAAAAGAACACTGTTTAAAACAATATTCTTACCAACGCTCTGCTATCAATGTCAAACATGGACATAAGGAAAATAGTCAGGACAGAAATGAAATGTTTACGTACTTATGCTAGGTGTAACAAGGAAAGATCGACGTAGGAACGATGATATCAGGAGGAGAATCGGCACAGAACCAATACTGAACTTTATAGGTAGAACAATGAATCAAATGGGTGGCCATGTAACAAGATTGGCAGCAGACAGAGCACCACAGAGAGCAACATTATATACTTACAACAGTAACAGACCCCGAGGTCGACCATGCAGAAGATGGACCACAGAAATACCAGAGACACTGAAAAGTACTGTATACAAAGCGAACAGAAGGGCCCATTCTAGAGATCTCTTCCTCCCCTGATGCCATGAGGAATTCCAGGAGTAGAGAAAAGAAGATTATTAAAATTGACAGAAACAGTGACAATTAAGATGTGCAATAAAGTCTTCAGAAGGAAATCATGGTTAATCTTAGACATCTGTGGTGAGGTGCACATAGTCAATAGAAAGTCAGGTTTCACCATCTCAGATGATAATCATAGTTGCAGATCAGATCACCGCTCCTGTCTTGCCCCATAAGAAGTTATAAACAACCATTACTAGGTACACCACAGACAGGATAAACAAATACCTGTCTAAACTATTGATAGTAGGGTACCAACCTGGACTCTGAGTCAATATAGACTAACTCCATGCCCTGGCCAATGTCCTCCTCCTGGGTCCCCCTGCGCCTCTGAAACAAAGGGCTCTGGGTTTGTTTATCCAGGGGCTGGAGGTTGAAGGGGTTTCTCCTGGAGCCCACAGTTGTCATGGTGAAAGATTCCTGAGGAGTCTTCTAGAAATTCTGTATGTATTTCTTCCAGCACAATACCTTGTTTCAGATAATGTTGTTTTCTTGAGAATAGTACCTTATTTTTAACGAGTCCTTCTTTTTAGCAATGTACTTTTAAACTGCTATGGCCAGGTTGTTAACTCTTCATTTTTTGGGGGATACCAAACAATCTGCCTTAGTTTCTTGGTTACTCTAAAGACAACACAACAATACTGTGTTTTTTTCCCTATTTCAGAATGCTGTTTTATGGGGGGAAAGGGGTATGCAGTGAGAAGAGCAAGAGAGCAAAGGACAGGTATTATTTGCCTAAGAGAGTACGATTCACTGGTGTATGTGTGTATATGAGAGAGAAAGAGGAGAGAGACACAGAAAGAGACAGAGAGATTGGCGAGAGACAGAGAGAAAGACACAGAAAGAGACAGAGAGATTGGCGAGAGACAGAGAGAGACACAGAGAGAGAAAGACACAGAGGGGTGAAAGAGAGAGAGAGAGACACACACAGACAGAGAGAGACACAGAGAGAAAGACATAGAGGGGTGAAAGACAGAGAGACAGACACACACACACACAGACATAGAGAGACAGTGAGAGACACAGAGAGAGAAAGACACAGAAGGGTGAAAGACAGAGAGAGAGACACACACACAGACATAGAGAGACAGAGAGAGACACACAGAGAGAAAGACACAGCGACACCGAGACAGAGACAGGGGTGAAAGACAGAGAGAGAGTCACAGACATAGAGAGACACAGAGAGAGACAGAGACACAGAGAAAAAGACACAGAGACAGTGAGTCTGAGAAAGAGACAGAGAGAGGGGTGAGAGACAGAGAGAGACACAGAGAGACTCATAGATAGAGACAGAGAGAGAAAGAGACAAAGAGAGGGGCAAGAGGAAGAGAGACAGTGAGAGACACGGACAGAGATAGAAAGAACATAGAGAAAGAGGAGAGAGGGGGCGAGAGATAGAGAGAGACACAGACAGAGACAGACAAAGAGAGACCCAGAGAAAGACAGAAAAAGAGATGGAGAAAAGGATGAGATACAGAGAGAGACACAGAGAGACAGAGAGAGAGAGAGTCATAGAGACCCAGAGAGACACAGAGAGAGAGACAGTCGTAGAGACATAGAGAGACACAGAGAGAGAGAGAGAGAGAGAGAGAGAGAGAGAGAGATAGAGACCCAGAGAGAGAGCAAGAGAAAGACAGAAAAAGAGACAGAAAGAGGGGCGAGAGAGAGACAGAGTCAGACAGAGACAGAGTAAGACAGAGAGAGATACAGACATAGACAGACGGACAGATAGAACTAGACTGCCCACATCAGAAGGAGACAATCTACATTCTTGGTTCACACCAGAAGACGGAACACATTATAGTGCACATCATAACGGTGAGAATGTTGGAGGGGAAAATAGGCACAGAGAGAGAGAGAGAGAGAGAGAGAGAGAGAGAGAGAGAGAGAGAGAGAGAGAGAGAGAGAGAGAGAGAGAGAGAGAGAGAGAGAGAGAGAGACCCAGAGAGAAGACGTTGGACAAGTTGACATCATACCATGGAAGATCATCGTGTCAGAACTGACTGGAAGTAGACGAGACAGAAGGTTGTGGATAGCCATGAGTGTCAACACCACACGGCATGAACTGTAGGGCATGATCAAGATAACCGCCCAAAAAAGTAAGCCCCAGTACAGATAAACATAAACCGCACCTTCGTAAGTAACGATCCAAACACACCAGATATCTCAGCAATCACAGTTCATATTAATCCAATACCAATATTCTACATTAACAAGTCGATATGTTTAAGTACTCGCGCACTCTGATAACAGCCGATAGCAGATATATTAACTCTTTCGAAGTCAACTGACTATCCCCCGATTTTCCCCGTGTTCTCTTACTTACAACATTTAGTCAAAAGATACTTTAGAAATCTGACTTATCCCACTGGCAATTGCCACTGTGTGTATTGCCATTCTGAAAGTAATTCACTAATGCCTTTTCATCATTGTTATATTTTCGCTTTGGCGTCTCCCGTGAAGCCTTCCGGTACCGATTTAAAATAGATCAATGTAGAATTGCAAGGGCGATAAACCGGAAGTGTTGAGGACTGTTGCATCAAGTGAATAGTGCAGCAGATGTCACGAAGTCTACGTCAATGTTTCCACAAGGGACAGTGCTGGGCATTCTGAGTGTTTCTCGTTGGCACAGGAGCGGAGCAACTATAAGCTGACCTGTTTGCTGTGAAGCTGAATCGGAGAGAATGATTCAGCGGAGTGCGAGTGATTTGCTGCAAGTAAGAAAGGAAGGGGGAGGGGGGCACAGGCGAACTTGTAATCAGGGAACTCTTGTATGGCTTCTGGAGAGGGGGAGAAAGTACGTACGAAAATGTAAAGAGTGCAGTGATGCGAATTGTCGATTCATAAGATCTGGAACAAGACGAGGGTCCAGAAATGGACAAACAACCAGAACTTTACCGCCGGCGAACGCTAGGAAGTCATTCACTGATAGCTCAGGCAAAGGCAGTATTTCACAAAAGTAGATTATTATCTTATGTAATGTATCTGTGTCAACTGAGGTCAGGAGAAAAGTTCTTAAGAGCTACATAGTACCAGTGCTGATATATGGAAGTGAATCATGGATAGTCAGCCGAATATTTATGGGTAGGGGGGACTATGCGGAAACTGGATGCCAGGTTTCTTTCCGTAGTTCCGCATGGCCTGCTATCCACACTTTGCTCCTGAGGTCAGGTTTCTCTCCGTAGTTCCCCATAGCTTGCTATGCACACTTTGCTATGGAGGCAAGGTTTCTATCCGTAGATCCCCATGGCTTCTGCTAAGTCTTTTAATGGGGTCTTGTGACAGTTTACTGTTGGTCTGTTGTCTCCACAATTCCTTGTATTTCCCGTAGCTGTCAGTTCTATGTCTTAAGGACTGGGAGATAGTCCACGACTCAAATGAGTTGGCTACTACAGGGAATATGCATGCTCTTAAAATTTTAATTTTGATTTTCTTGCTGGTGCTTAACCACAGACTTGTTGCCTAATATGTTTGTTCTATGCAGCGTGCAGGAAATCTCCGTCCAACCTCTAGGGCAGCAATTCTCAACCTATAGGTCGCGACCCTTTTTTTGTGTGGGTCCAACAACCATTTCACAGGGGTCGCCTAAGACCATCGGAAAATATATTCACTGAAGTTATGAAGTAGCAAGGAAAATAACTGTATGTTTGGGGGTCGCCACAACATAAGGAACTGTATCAAAGTGTCGCGGCATTCAGAAAGTTCTGAACCGCTGCTCTAGGTGTAGCGATTTACAGTACAGACGTTTTTCGTTTGGTGAACACACCCCTCACGCCCTTTTCCCCTGTGTGAGTTCAGTTACCATTTGTGTATGTGGGGGGGGGGGGGGGGTGTCAGAACAGAACCACTGCCTCTTTATAAGAATGTCGTAAATGGCGACTGATAAGGTGTTGATGAAATCGGATGTGTTGGGTCGGAAGGTGCGGATATTACAGCCTATATGTAAACAACTACAAACGTGTCGACCTCTGTTTAAAGGGAGAACACAGAAGAAGAGAAAGGTGTGTACTTACTATAATAAACAGATTAACACTAAATAAGCGGCACTGTATCCCTAACACAACTGTAATTATAAGCACAACACATATGCCTGCTTCATTCACACGCTTCCATATGAAAATATCACACACGGAAGGCAGATATTCCCAAAATATGTAGATCTATGCATCAAAACACGTCCAGGTGGTATGGAATATCACACAAACAACACCTGAAACTAACGTGAAAACAGGCAGTACAAGGGAGAAGGCCGGATTCCGCACGCGACCTGGGTGTCAACTAACCGCGGAAATTATTCTAACCAGGGGTAAATCAAAAGGCGACAACGAAGCAGGTCATGCACGTAGTACGTCAAATACAATAACGCTATCTGTTCACGATAGAGGTTCTCAGACTGTGACATTAGACACGCCTACACAGTGTGCAGGGTTATATATCTACAGATCCCCGTGTGGGTTCCGGGGCCCTATTGTAGGGAAACAAGAATAGACCCACTGCCTACCCAAAAGCATGTCGTAAAAGTCGACTAATTGGGAGCTTCCTTTAAAGTCGCATCTGCCTGAGAGGTAAGGAACCAGCAGTCTGTATACAAATGAGTCGGATCTGTAAAACGGATTAACACGCAACACTCGGGTTCTGGAACAGGACTGCAGTCCTAAAGTGGATGAATAACCAGAACTTTCCGCCATAGTTTAGAGCTGGTGAACACGAAGAAGAAGAAAAAAGATATCTACAGAGTACATCTGCCGCAACGCGAAGGCTTCTCCCCTGATTCCCCTCAAAAATGGCCTTAAAAACCGAAAGCTTTAGCTGTTCGCCCATTTCTGGACTTAAGTATTGTTCCAGACTGTGGGTGTTGTATGCATTTATGTGCATGCAGATGTCTGCTGGATCCTCGTCTCTCAGACAGATGCCAGAGCTTGAAATGAAAAGCCGATTTTAGTCGACTTTTACGACATGCTTGTTATTAGGCATTAGGTCTACTGTCTTGTCCCCCACAATGGGGCCCGGAAGCCACAATTGGGAGGTTAAACGCGGGGCACATTGGATTTGTCATGCTGGTCTACAATCCCCAATAAGATGTTTAAATCTGATGGTGACAGAAAGTAACACAAGAAATAATGCTGAGAGCCGCTGAGGAATTCATTGTACGGACAAACACAGGTGGCACCCAGTTCTAACAAGACAGCGGGGACACCAGGCCTGGAGACAGCGGCCGTGTTGTGTACATACATACCTGACATTTCTGGCCCACATTTGTCTTGTCCTGGAATGCTGCAAGCCTCAAAAGCGGCTGTAGTGTCTGTTATTGTTTGTCTGTAGGTTCCTTCTCCTGTCCTTCATGCCTCTCAACACAGCACAGGTCCGCACCCAACAAGTTTCAAGCCTTACTATCTTTCTTTTAGTAA